TATATATATATATGTGTGTGTGCATTTAAAAAACCCATTTACCATGAAACTAGGCTCCTAAAAGGGGCACCTTTCTTGGATTTCTGTGGACCCATTTGCAATGTTATAGATTTGTTGTTGTTGTTGTGGTACTTTGAGTAGTTTCTGACTTATGGTGACCCTGAGGCCTACTCTGGAGACCAGGGCTGGACTTCCTGCTCAGCCATGGAAACCCACAGGGCAGGGCACACTCTCTCAGCTTCAGGGGAAGGCAGTGGTGGCAAACCTCCTCTGAACAAATCTTGCCTGGTTCAATGGGAAATACGATAAGTCAGAAAGGATCTTGAAGGCACACAACAGCTATCTTGCTGGCCCCTCTCTGTAAATTTCACAGGTACCCAACAAATCCCATTTCAGTCCCCCTGGCAATGCAAGCAGAGCCCTTGGGACTGAATGGAAGTGAGCCCTTTGGGAATGGAGTTCAGTTCCTGCCCACCCCTTGCTACTCCATGGAGTAGGAGCATTTGAAACCTACAAATCCCAGGACCCCAGAAGATGTTGTTGCCATGGCAGTCAAACTGGAGTCGTAGTGCTATAAAACATGGGAAGAGCCCCAAGTTTAGGCAGTGAGGAAGGCAGACAAATACAGCCCTGTTGGACTGTAACTCCCAGGAGTGCTCTAGTCAGTGATGAAGAGCGCTGGGTGTTGCAGTCCTGGAATATCTGGATGTCCGTGCAATTGCCAGACACTGCAGTTCTCCCCACTGCTCCTGTAAAGAACAGTCTTTTGCAAAGCTGCTCCCAAGAACCAGATTTACTACAAGGAGCAAGAGATTGCCCATGCTGTGCCCCCCCCCCACCATGTTCTTCTCTCAGTTGGGTTCCTTATTATTTCATAGCCAGGAGCCATGGCTGGGAGGCTTCACCTTGCAATGAAAAAGGTTGGCTGGCTGGTGCTCACGTTCCCCACTTTTCCCTTCTCCAGAGCAGAGCAGAGCAGAGCGAGGAGGAAAGAAAATCAGAATAACCTCTTGCTCCTCCTTGTAAACCTGATTCTTAGGAGCATCTTTGCAGGAGACTCTTGCATTCTTTACAGGAGTCTCTTGCTCCTCCTTGTAAACCTGGTTCTTGGGAGCATCTTTGCAGAAGGAAGGCTCCCATTATAAGAATGAACAATGCAATAGGGAGAATTACAATGGCTGGCAATTGCACGGCCTTCCATATACCTCTGGACTGCAACACCCAGCGCTCTTGGCCCTGGGCTACAGCACTCCTGGGAGCTGCAGTCCAGCAACATCTGGAGAGCTGTGGTTGCCTGACTTCCTCACTGAATGCATCTGCCTGAACTTTGGGACTCTTTATTCAGAATATAGCTACCATTCCATGTTGACTTAGTTGGCAACATCTTGTGGGGTCCTGGGATTTGTAGTTTGGGGAGGCACTAGGGCTCTCTGGCTGAGAATTCTAATTTCTCCCCAAATTGGCAAGATGACTAAGCTGAGGCTGATGTACTTTGGACAAGCCATGAGAAGACAGGACTTACTTAGAAAAGACAATAATGCCCGGTAAGGTGTAGTGGTTTGAATGTAGTAGTGTAGTGGCTATGACTCTGGAGACCAGGGTTCGAATCCTGGATCAGCCATGAAACCTACTGGGTGACCCTAGGCAAATCACACTCTCTCAGCCTCAGAGGATGGCCATGGCAAACCCCCTCTGAAGAAACTTGCCAGGAAATCCCATGATTGGTGCCTTAGAGTCACCATAAGTCAGAGATGACTTGAAGGCACAACAACAACAAGATGGAAGGTAGAAGCAAAAGAGGAAGACCACATTGCAGGTGGATGGACTCAGTCTGGGAAGTCATGACCTTGCAAGACCTGAGCAGGGTTGTTGAAGACAGGGGGTTTCTCATTCATAGGATCCCCATAAATCAAAGTCAAATTGATGGAAATTAACAGCAACAACACTGCAAATCCCAGGACTCCACTGAACATTGTAATGGCAGATAAAGCAGAATCATAGCACTATAACTGCGCAGTGTGAAAGGACCCTTGGTCAGTCCTAACAGAGGCCATAGAGTTTGGGCCAAAAGGGTTGATACAAAGCCCAAGATGCTGGACTGTCCACTTTTATCCACCACCTGGTAACTGTGGGTGTGTTGTTTCTGGTAGTAAAAGTTCCTTTCCCCCCATCTGTTGTAGTTCAAAGATTGCCCCTTGTTAAACCAGAGTCCCTCGGGACCAAGGTCTTGAGTTCAGATTCAGTCTGTGTCCTTTCCAGTTTCAAATAAAGTGAGCCAGAGGGTCAGGGAAGACCTTTTATCCCTGGAGGTCTATACTGCCAGCCAGAGAAGACAATATAGGGCCGGGTGGATAAATAACCCCATACTGCATTCTGATTTTCTGTTGATTTTGTTTTTCAATTTGAAAAGCAGAAAGGAAGACCCTTGAGCATCTATTGTCTTGTCTGTCTTCAGGTCATTTCTGACTTGTGGCGACCCAAAGGTGAACATGTCATGGGGTTTTCTTGGCAAGATTTGTTCAGAGGAGGTTTGCCTTTGCCTTCCTCTGAGGCTGAGAGAATGTGATTTGCCCAAGGTCCTAGTCCTAGTCCAACAGTCAGACCATGCTACCTGTCCACATCAGGTGGACTCAGGTTGATCCTATTTTAAGAGGGTTTTTTTTGGGGGGGGGCAAGGATTCTTCAGAGGAGGTCTGCCATTGAGGCTGAGAGTGTGTGACTTGCTGGAGGTCACCCAGTACGTTTCCAGGGCTGAGCAAGGATTCAAACTCAGATCATTACAACATATTGGCTCAGGTGCAAATTAACCTCCTAACGTTTTGACAGCTGTGTTATTGTGGGACATCCGGTGCATCCGTACACACCTCTCCATTTCGCCAGAGTGCGATAATTGCCTTCCTTTCCGAAGGGAAAGGAGTTGATCCCTTGGATCCTTTGGGACACTCGGAGAGCCTGGTGGATCCTGGTAGCTAACACCTGTTGCCCAGGGCCTGAAGCCTTGGCAATTACACTCCTCTTGTGTGTCG